AACAACTACTAACTACTACAGCTACGACTACTACTACTGCTTTTACCACGGTAGTGTTCATTACTAGTAGTATTACTACTACTACTACTACTGCGATTCGTTTTCCTATGTTTATTATTGGTACTACTACTATTACCACCACCTCTAGTACTACTATTGCCACGGCTACTGCTATTACGTTTGCTATTACGACCATCGCGGCTACGACGGCGACGGCGACGAGTAGTACCAGTATTCTCACTTCTAGTACCACCTGCTACCACTACTACTACTACTTCTGACAGGACGACTACCCCTACTATAGCTATTCCTGCTACTACTAAGACTACCGTCTATTATTAGTTTTATTACTACTACGGCTATCACTACTACCATTTCTACTATTACTACTGCTGCTGCTGCCACGACTACTACCACTACTACTACGACGGCAACAGCGACGACTACAACCAATACTAGGTTTTGCTCTCGTACTCGTACTACCACTATCCCTCTACGGCTACTACTAACACTACTACGATTACTACTACTACTACTACTACTACCACCACTTCTACTACTACTGCTACTACCACTGCTGCTACTACTACTACTACCACTACTACTACTACTGCTGCTACTACTACTACTACTACTACTACAACAACTACTACTACTACTACTACTACTCTCACTACGACGACGACGCCGACCACTTCTTCTATCGATGCCACTATTGTCACCATCACTTCTGCTACTATTACTAAGACCACTACGACTACTACCACTACTTCTACTTCTACTTCTACTACTACTACTACTACTACTACTACTACTACTACTGCGACGGCTACTGCTACCACCACGCCGCTATCATTAGTATTATTATTATTACGACTAATACCGCGCTTACTACTACAACGGTTACTACTACTACTACTACTCCTACTGCTACTACTCATGCTGCTGCTGCTACCACTACTGCCACTACTACTACTATTGCGACGATTACTGATACTACTACTGCTACTACTATTACTAGTTCTAGCCGTACTACTACTACTACTCCTACTCGTACGGCCACCACATACTGCTACTACTACCACTACTACTACCACTACTAATACTACGGCTACGGCGACGACTACGACTACGACTACGACTACTACCTTTACTACTATTACCACTACTACTACCACTACTATTATTACTAGCACTACCACCACTTCTAATACGACTGCTAATGCTACCACTACTACTACTACTACTGCTGCTACGGCTACTGCTACTGCTACTGCTACTGTTACTGCTACTACTATTTTTACTACTACTACTACTACTACTACCACTATTACTACAACTACTACTACTACTACTACTACTACTTCTACTACTACTACTACTACTACTACTACTACGACTACGACTACGACTACGTCTACGACTACAACTACAACTACAACTACGACGACGACGACGACGACGACTACGACTACTACGGCTACTACGACCACGACAAGTAGTACCGTAGCAATCCGCAAATGCGGATAAGATAGGGGGCGGTTGGGACGTCGGCAGTCTGCGAGACTCTGGAGAAGCCTTCCGCAGGCGCCAACATTCCACAACTTAAACAACGAGCCCGCCGCAGGCACCGATTTGTTTCTACAAACCAATGTGGATCGGTAGCGGGTGGGCCGCGGTTGGGTCGCGGGTGTGTCGCGGGATGGGTCGCGGGTGTGTCGGAAGTGGGTCGCGGGTGGGTCGCGGTTTGTTCGCGGATGGGTCGCGGGGTGGGTCGCGGGTGGGTCGCGGGTTTGGTCGCGGGTGGGTCGCTGTTGGGTCGCGGGTGGGTCGCGGGGTGGGTCGCGGGAGGGTCGCGGGTTGGATCGTTGGTGGGTCGCGGGGTGGGTCGCGGGGTGGGTCGCGGGGTGGGTCGCGGGGTAGGTCGCGGGGTGGGTCGCGGGGTGGGTCGCGAGGTGGGTCGCGGGGGGACGACAACAAACAACAATATTAACAACAACGACAACAACAACAATGCAACAAACATAATCATCACCACGGATTTCCACTTCAGCCGCGCATCCAGGGACAATGAATGATCGTTCGCCCCCTCACCATGATTACTAGTATTATTACTACAGCGGCTACTTGTTCAACTCTCTTCTACAGTTCGTACACCGTACATCCGTACACCGTTTGTGTACACGCGAGCCGCCATGGAAAGCGTATTATCCCCTGGGACCCCGGACTTTCTTATCTCCCAGGTGGATATCATCAGGGACATCGAGTTATTGTGGTGGTGCAGATGTCGCCAGCAAGGAGACAGGTCCAGGTCCTGAAGGAAACGGGTCCTGAGGTTTTTCTCCGTTTTCGCCCCCCGGGACCGACCACGGGCCTTGGATTGTCAGAAACGGTTCAGCACGAACAGCTGGTCGTAGGGGAATCCCAGGGTCGAACACCCATTCCTGTCTGGACCCGTCCGTCTGTTTCGTGCGACAGACGGGGAGGAGGGGAGGAAAGGGAGGGGGGGAACAGGTTGCAAGTGGAAAAGGCACGCCTGCTGGCGCGGTGGTCTTGCGAACCTTCGCCTCCGCTGCTGCACTGGACCCGCCACCGCCGCTGCAGGTATTCGACATGGACGGTTCGGGCCGCATCGAGCTGAAGGACGGAAGGGGGCGGCGACGACGGCAGCGGCGGCGGCGGCGGCTCGAGGCAGCTTGTCTCTGCAGCAGTCAGCTTCATTCTTGGGATCGAGCTTGGCAGGGGCGGGCGGGGGAGGAGGAGGAGGAGGAGGAGGAGGAGGAGGAGGAGGAGGAGGAGGAGGAGGAGGAGGAGGAGGAGGAGGAGGAGGAGGAGGAGAGGCGGAGAAGAAGACGGCGCGGGCAGCCCCCCCGCCCAGTCCCGTCTCTTGTTTTTGGGGGCCGCGCGGGGCTTGGCCGGCCGCGTCGTGGGCGCGAGCCCGTCCCCAGGCACATCCCGCAGGGTCTGGACGCTCCGAGGGCCCTCTGGCCGTCCCGCGGCCTTCCTTCGCCTCGCCCCGCGCCCACCCGCGTCCCCTGCGCCTCCATTCGCCGCGGATGCGTCCAGCCGTCTGCTTCTGACCGCCTGCTGGGCCCAGCTCGCCCGCAGGCCAAACCGCTGTGCGGGGCTTCGTGCTGCGCCGCTTCGAGTGGCCCCTGGGGCCCCCATCGGGCTGGCAGGGCTCCTCCTGGCGCCATGTTGTGCCGTCTATTGGAATTATTTGGGGGCCTCTTCAGCCCTCCCGGGTCGCCTTGGGGCCCTCTTTTGGCCTGTCCTGGACTCTACCAAGGGCCGTGCGTCTTGGGTCTCTTTTGGGTCGTCATCGGGTTTGCCTGGGCTCTTTGTCGGGGCCTTGTCTGGGCCATCTTGGGCTGTCTCGTGGGTCTGCTGTGCTCCCTGGGGCCCCTGCCGAGCTCCATGGCGGCCTACTTGCAGCCATCTTGTGCCATTCAAGGAAGTGAGCATCAAACTTGGAGATCACGGGTATTCAATGCACGTTGGTTTGTCAGTGGCTTGCTGGTGTGCTCCTTGGGCTGTCTTCGGGGGCTGGATCGGGCCGCCTTGGGGGATGTTGGTGCTTCGCACGCTTAAGGTTTTTTTCCGGAGAAGGTCGTGGGGCACGTTTGGGCTGTGTTGGTGCACGCATTGGCTGTTTTGGGGCTTGCTTCTGGCCGTATGGTAGCCATTTCAGGCTAGATTGTGTCTCTCGTTGTCCCTCTGGGACCCCCTCTTGGGCTATTCGATGGCATGCTAGAGGTTGGCTTTTGCCGTCCATGGTGGGATACAATACCGTAGACACAATACAGTATGTATCACGTTTCAATGCAATTTGCCTCTCACAGGCCTGCTGCAGGGCTCTTTGGGCCATCCTGGAGGCCCCCCCGCCCTCTAGGCCTTTCGGGGTGTGCTTGGATTTGTCTCGGGCTGTCCTAGGTACGACCATTTGCACCAGGAGCTTTCAACTGAAGGAATAGTCTTCGCCCTGTCCTACATGGCGTCGCAGTTCGGCCGTGAATCCATGTGAGTTTTGATGCCTCCGCTGGTTCCTGTATTTTGGACGTTGGTGTAATATGTCTTTGAATTTGTTTGTGCGCGTATCATACATCACATTCGCGCGGGCCATTGTGCATGATGGCCTCCTCGGGAGCGTCTAGGGAGATGTGTGTTGGGGGTATTCGGGTCGTCTTGGGGCCTCTGTCATTCCTATCAGCCATAAAAGTGTAATCGTCCTGCCCGCAGAGACCCAGGGAACACACCACAACACTCAACAATGTCGCAAACCGACCGGCAAAAGTGCGTGATCGTCTCGATTCGGGGCTCAAGGGACGGGGTCAGCCAGAGCGCGGGATCTTGCAGGATCCTGCGGGGCAAAGGGTGCACTGACCCGGGTGTGGGTGCAGGATCTTGCAGGACCTTGCAGGATCTTGCAGTATCCTGCGAGGCCTGACTGACCCAGGTCTGGATCAACCCGGGTCAGAAGATCCCCGATCGGTTCTCAGCCCTTGATCCTGGACGCCCGACATGGGCACGGAAAGCATGGGTACAATGCCCAACAGCAGTTCCTGTTCATTTTGAACAGGATTCGCTGCCCGCGCCGCCGCGGCCTGTGTCCATTCGAGACAGAAGGCCGCCTGCCCAACAGCGGCCGCTGTCGGTTGGGGACAACAGTTGCTGTTGGGCATTGTGCCCACTCTTTCCGTGCCCATTTCGGGCGTCCAAGTTGATCGTCCACGACGGCTGCGAGCGTTGAACCCCTCCTGCGGCCCGTACCGGCGCTCACGTGGAGGGCTCGGGGGCAGGTCCAGCGGGCTGCTCGGGCCGCCTCCGCTGCCCCGGCTGTGGCCCGCCGGCCCCCGGGGGGGTCCCTGGGAGCCCCCCCGCCGCAGCGGGGGAGGAGGAAGGGATCGGGGAGGAGGAGGACGGGGAGGAGGAGGAGGAGGAGGAGGAGGAGGAGGAGGAGGAGGAGGAGGAGGAGGAGGGAGGAGGAGGAGGAGGAGGAGGAGGAGGAGGAGGAGGAGGAGGAGGAGGAGGAGGAGGAGGAGGAGGAGGAGGAGGAGGAGGAGGAGGAGGAGGAGGAGGAGGAGGAGGAGGCGGGGGAGGAGGAGGAGGAAGAGGAGGAGGACCAGAGTAAACCAAAGAGTCATCAACCATGTTGGGATACACCCTCCCTCCAAGCTCCCTCTTCATAGGCCCCTGCAACAGTTCAGTTCCGCTGAGGGATCTGCCTCATTGGAAGACAACCGTTTGGAGACCTTGAAGCATACCGACACATTGTTCGTGGGATTCCAACGCCATGGATCAACCTGACTGTTTCGTCTTGACGATCCTGAATCGTGCCAGAACGCCATTCCTGGGACTTCAGCACCGCGAGGCAAATATAAGTGTTGCACCTTCAGAATCCGGAATCCTTCCAAATCACCGTATCTGAAACGTTGATCATGGGATTCCGTGAATTTCTTACACATTACGCAGACGAATGTGCGCGGTACTCAGGCGAGAACCACATTTTGAAAAGGAACGGCCCTCAATCCGTGAAATTGCGGCATTTGTTTAACGAATGTGCGTGGTGCTAAGGCGAAAGCCACATTTTGAAAACCACCCTCCCTCAATCCGTGACACTCTTGTTGTCTTTCTGATACGACTGTGCGTGGCGCTAGGGCGTGAGGCACATGTTTTGAAAACGGCCCGCCCTCCATCTGTGAAGTTGTTGCCAATGTTAAGCTTCAGGGTCCTAAGTGGTGAGGGAGTCTCAGGCCAAAGGCCCCGCCCACCCTAAAAACTGGCCTCGGGGTGCGACAGGGATACGTCGCTTTTCAGGGAAAGGAATGATGGAGGAAAACGAGGAGGATGAGGAGGAGGAGGAGGAGGAGGAGGAGGAGGAGGAGGAGGATGAGAAGGAGGAGGACGAGGAGGAGGAGGAGAAGGCAGGACGAGGAGGAGGGGAGGAGGAGGACGAGGAGGAGGAGGAGGAGGAAGTGAAGAGGAGAGAGGAGAGGGAGGAGGAGGAGGAGGAGGAGGAGGAGGAGGGGAGGAGGAGGAGGAGAAGAACGAGGAGGAGGAGGAGAGAAGGAGGAGGAACAGGAGGAAGAGAAGAGGAGGAGGAGGAGGAGGAGGAGGAGGAGGCTGGGCCGTCGGGGGCGCCTACAGCTCACACGGATTCGCCGCCGATGTGGCCGGAGCGGTGACCTTTTGTCAGGGAGGGAGCGCCGTGTGGGGGCGCGCGGAGGGCTCGAGGAGGGCTCGCGTGCCGCGCGTCGCGGGGCGGGGTCTGCGCAGAGCTGCGCCGTGGCCCCGCGCCACTGCGCCGGTGCTCGGCGGGCCTCCCCCGCAGACAGCGGCTGGGGAGGACGGCGGGGCCCTACCGCAGGTAGGAGAGGGGAGGAGGAGGAGGAGGAGGAGGAGGAGGAGGAGGAGGAGGAGGAGGAGGAGGAGGAGGAGGAGGAGGAGGAGGAGGAGGAGAAGGAGGAGGAGGAGGAGAGCAGGGGAGGAGCAGGAGGAGGAGCAGGAGGAGGAGAGGAGGAGGAGGAGGAGGAGGAGGAGGAGGAGGAGGAGGAGGAGGAGGGGGAGGAGGAGGAGGAGGAGGCGGGGGAGGAGTAGGAGGAGGAGGAGGCGGAGGACAAGTGAAAACCCAAGAGGAGCCATCAGCGATGTTGGAATACACTCTCCCTTCAAGCTCCCTTTTCATAGGCCCCTGCAACGGTTCAGTTCCACAGGGATCGGCCTCGTTGGAAGACAACCGTTTGAAGGCCCGGAGGCATGCCAAAACATTGTTCTCGGGATTTTAACGTCACGGGTCAACCTGATTGTTGAGTTTTGACGATCTTGGATCGTGCCAGAACAACATTCTCGGGATTTCAGCACCGCGAATCAACGTGACTGTAGCACCCGCAAAATCATGAATCCTTCCAAAACATTTTTTCTGGTACGCTGATCGTGGGAATCCGTGAAACCCTTGTAGATTCTATGAACGAATGTGCGCGGCGCTGAGGCGAGAGCCACATTTTGACAAGGAACCACCTTCAACCCGTGAAACTCTTGCATTGTTTTAGAACGAATGTGCGTGGTGCTAAGGCGAGAGCCACATTTTGAAAACGGGGTATCCTCAATTCATGAAGCTCTAGCATTTTTTTGGAATGAATGTGCGCGGCGCTAAGGCGAGAGCCACATTTCGAAAACGCTTTATTCTCAATTCGTGAAATTCTTGCATTTTTCAAAAGGAAGGTGCGCGGCGCTGAGGCGAGAGTCACATTTTGAAAGCCACCCGCCCTCCATCTGTAAAACTGCTGGCAATTTCTAAGGTTCAGGGTCCTACGTGGTGTGGAAGTCTCAGGCGAAACGCCCGGCCCGCCCAAAAAACTGGTCTCGGGGTGTGACAGGGCGAAGTCTTTTATAAGGAAAATGAACAGAGGAGGAGGAAGAGGAGGAGGGGGGTTCTGGAAGTCTCTCTCGGGCTTGTTAGGGTCCCTTCCCTGGCTCTGGAAGGAAGAAGTGGCGGCATAA